AATGGTCCCTGACTGACAGTGTCTAATACTGTAAGAGATGATGATGGTAAGCATGTTGCAATGGCAAAGCTTTAAAAAATAGACCATTTTTTTTTTTCTTTTGGAAGGAAAACAATAGACTTATGTGGATACTCATCAATTATATTGAAAACGATAAGCCAAGCTCAACTTGTCCCAAAGTCTAAATATGCTTCGACAATGATATCATATCGGATTCCGTTCTGATCTTCTCCCCATTCAGAACCAAATCTGAAAGTAAATTATACAACTGAAGGTCAGCGAGTCTGCAGAGATTAGGAAGATAAATCATCCCCACAACTCCACAGTGTAATATTCTTTGAAACTTTTGTATACTTTCAACTCCTACATAATATAACCTAGCCCCTCCCCACCCCCTCCTCCCCTTCCCACTACCCCACCAAAAGGAAAAAAAGAAAAAAAAAGAAAAAAAAGAGTTTTGAAGAGCACCAAAATTATTACTGTTGTTGTTGTTGTTATTTTTTCGCCAAATGTAGGATATTTTCATAAAGTCCAGCCGAATGCTTTCATAACTATATATACAGGTTGATGGTAACTTCGTTTCCCTTTTTAATTTGATCCTATAATTTGTGTAAAGTACAATTAATTAACACTTGGTATTGGGCATGTGTCAATTATACATTAGCGCGGTAGCTTTACTCTACTGGAAACACTACTGATCCAGAAACTTTTTCTCCCGGGAACTGGGTCAGGATCCACGATGCCAAGCCCTTCGGATCCACGATGTTCTAGCAAATTCTGAGCAGGATTCCGAGCCTTCTACTTTGCAGTGCGGCAGAAAACCAGAATTTCTGGACGGAACCCTTATTGCCAAACTGTGCTTCCACTGTGTGAGTTTTTCTAGCCCAGATCATTTGCGGTTTTATGCTACTTGACCCCATCGTTCTCTAACTTGTAAATTGCTTTCTCCCTGCCTTGCTTACATATCTGAATTCATCTGATTATAATGCCACTTTTATATGTACTCCCCTCGTGTTCATTTTTCAAACCTAGTGGTTCGTTACTCTTTAATGTGGACTGTAGTGTATATGTTTTGTTTTCTTGATGATTAATCAGGCCGTGAAGTGGAAATCGATTTCTTGTAGTTGTGGTTTTGCAGTATTATCTTTTAGCCTAATTGATTTGAAAACCAATCACTTTCTTCAGAATAGTTTCTTTTTCTTTTTGTCCTGCTCCGGTAACTGTTGAATAGCTGATCTTTCTTGCAAAGCGAGGAATTTTACAAGGTAAGAAGTCCAAGAACTTACTGTAATTTTAGCTAGTTGTGTCAAAGTTAACATCTTTAATCAAACAGAACGAAACTGCGTTTGGGGGATCAATCAACTTGGGAGTTTAAAGGGATGGAAGCCTACAAATCGTGAGCTGCAAAACTAAATGGGGTTTGATGCGCTATTTTCTCACGGTGTTTTTTCTATTTCCTTTTTTTGTTAATTTTTTTGAAGGGAAGGGTAGGAAATAAGGAGCTGGAATGGGGTTTTGGATGGCTGAACCAGCAGTCGAAGATCAGGAAGAGTGATCCTTGACCATCTGGCCATATTCAATCCTATATGGAGGTTTTCCCTAACACATTTTCAGGTCAAATTTTTAATGACATATATTACATCTGGAAAAGTGCTGAGGTATGGTTTATCTAAAAGATGAGCTACCGTTATTGGCATTAATACGCAAACAAAATATATTTCTTTGAAAGTAGTACTAGTGAACTTCGAGGATGCTAGCAAAACCACTTCTTATATATTACATCACAGTCTGTAGAGTGTGATATATTGCGCTTCTTAGGTCCTTAATATGTTAAAGCTGTTAATATCGTGCAGGGTATTGCTCTACATTTGCTGGATGGCCGAGAGTGGTGTAAAACAACCATTGTTAACTGAATCACTTGATGTTGCGCCAAAAACTAACCAAAAAATTAATCACAGAAGAAGATTCCGCCGATGCAAAAGTGCACCACTAGCAGAATTTACCCCTGGAGAATTGAATGGAAAGGATGGCTCACTTCCTCGGTCTGAATCGATCTTCAATAAACTCCATCCAAGTATAAGGAAGGTTGCCATTTTCTTATTCTTGTACCTGGCTGTAGGCGCCTTCTGCTTTTACATTGTTAGGCACCAGATTGCAGGAGAAAGGACTGATGGAGTTCTTGATTCGGTTTACTTTTGCATCGTGACAATGACCACTGTGGGATATGGAGACCTTGTGCCTAACAGTGTAGCTACGAAACTGCTAGCCTGTGTTTTTGTATTCTCAGGGATGGCATTAGTTGGTCTGATGCTGAGCAGAGGAGCAGATTACTTAGTAGAGAAGCAGGAGGTATTGTTGGTCAAAGCATTGAATTTACGCCCAAAAGTTGGACCAACAGAAACGACGGAGGAGATTGAAACACAAAAGGTCAGCTACAAGTGTGCAACAGTATTTATCTTTTTGCTGGTGCTAATAGTAGTTGGGACAGCCTTCCTGACCATAGTTGAGAAACTAGACATTGTTGATGCCTTTTACTGCGTCTGCTCCACCATCACAACCCTTGGTTACGGGGATAAAAGTTTCTCGACCAAGGCTGGGCGTATTTTTGCAATTTTTTGGATTTTGATGAGTACACTTTGTTTGGCTCAATTTTTCCTTTATATTGCTGAGCTGAACACTGAGAAGAGACGGAAGGAACTGGTTAGATGGGTCCTTACTAAGCCGATGACCAACGTGGATCTTGAAGCTGCTGATCTTGATGATAATGGTATAGTTGGGTGAGTATATCTGCTGCCTAGAATTGATTCTGCAAACTCTTATTGCTGGTTCTTTTGTCGCTGGGCTCCTCATTTACTAAGTTGTTGCCAGATATTAAGGGGCTTTGTTTTCCAATTACTAATTACCTTTTTCTTGCTTGTATGATAGTGCTGCTGAGTTTGTCATATACAAGCTCAAAGAGATGGGAAAGATCAGCCAAGAAGATATCTCAGTTGTGCTGGAAGAATTTGAATATCTTGACGTTGATCAGTCTGGAACTTTGTCAACCTCTGACATATCCCTCGCCCAATCATCTTAAACTGCGATGTGATTACCTTATCTTTGAAAAAAAAAAAAAAAATAGTGATGATATCCTGTCTGCTAGTTGCTTGTCGTCATATAGAAATTCTTCTTTGTTGTCTACCATGCTTCACGCAGAAGCATGCTCCTTTCAACCTGTCATGAATGTAAATGAACTTGATGTTCTTGTCTCAGAACTGTGGGATGATGGCACAAGTTCTTTCTTCATGATGAGTATTTAGAAAGAGTTAGCGAATTCAGTCACCGGACGCGTTAACATCTCCTGTAGGGGCTTCCAAGATTGTCAGTTTGTTCTATGTTCAATTGCAGTCCCATTAAAGATAGACCTCTCCAATAGAGCTATTCGATTATGCACGTAACTAAATGGATATGCCCACCACCCATAAGCCCACAGGATCGGAGGCGTAGCAGCCCTCTGAAGCTCCATTCCCCGCTGGTTACGGGCCAGTTTGGATAGCGTCCGTTTGGAACAAGGTAAAAGTCTTATTTATCCCCGCCCCTATTTATATCTACTTAAAAAAATTTTCAACTTTTCTTTTTTCTTTTTTTTTTTCTTCAAGTGTAATGGAATTAGAATCTCCCAACTACACTATTGTCTTTCTTTCCCGGTGCTGCCCCAACCCATCCCTCCTCCTATCTAATGAAAGTTAATCAGTAAAGTAAAGGCCAACAACCTAAGAATATTGTCCATTTTAAGACAGCTTCATAATTTCCGACCTGATGAAAAAGACTGGCACCTAACCCATGATTACTCTTGTTTAGACATCACGAAAACTTGGTGTTGCCAACAAGAGTATAGATGAATGCAGAGTGCCCAACTATTGGAGGTTGGCTGGACGAAATATTTGATGCAGAGGCAGACGACAGACCAATATTTACCTAAAATCTTTTACTTTGTCATATTTAATTACTTTAAATTGTTGTTAAAACCCATGATTTAGTCAACAATCATCCATGTTGACTTCGTACATCAGTCCAATTGGATGGAATACAAGTAATTCAAAGAGCCTTTAATCTAGCAACTGAATTTGAGATTCCAAAAACCCACAAAATCCTGACTTCTTAAATTTCGGACAAATAAATAACAATATTGGAGCAATTTCCTTAAGAGTTGCTTGGCGGCCAACCATGATAATATTTTGTGCTTTTTTTCTTGTGCATAGAAAGCTAAGGCCTTTTTGGATTGCAATTTTTCACCTAAAAAGTTTTACAATTTCGTTAAATTATATCATTTTTTAATTTCACATTATATCAAACTATTATGGTATTACTGCGGTCCTCATAAACATATTTTTCAACTCACCTTTTTATATTTCTAACCATTTTCTTTATCTCAAATCCATCGTATCACATAAAGTGTTACGGTAATTATCATTACAAATGAATAATAGTAGTCTATCCTAACAAATTCATAACCATTCAAAGGGTTCGGCAAATAATTTTCATACTTGAAATTCACAAATTGAATACGGTCGTCGTTGCTTCATAAACATCTACGCAATAATAAAAATCATCAAGGGATTGGGCAAAGATTAAGAAAAAAGCTAAAGTCATTATTGTCCCGACATGGAGAAATGAGCGGACGGACCTAAGTCCTTTCTAAGGTATTGTCAGCCAACAGTGTCCGTCGATGTCAAATCACAGTCAAACGAGCGTCTCCAACTCTACTCTAATTCAACCCCTTTCATCATTTCCACATTGATTGAGAAAACCAATGGAATAAAAACAAAAAAAAGTACTGCCCCTTGCCGAAAGCAAAATCCCATTTTACTATGAACCACCACCAAATTCAAAATATGTGTACCAATTGTAACTTCTGCCAGAAAAATTGCACTTGGTGATACTCAAAGTGGTGAGAATAATTGTACGTTAAACAACATATGAACCACCCAAACGAAAAGGAATTAGGGGACCCAACTATCAAGCAGCAAGAGTGATCTGAACGACATTTATTTAATTTCTGCAATATACAATTCCCAACCTGTCAAAGTCCTTGATCTCCTTAAACTACAAACAATAATAATGTCGAGAGAGAGAGAGAGAGAGAGAAAAATCCAAGGAAAGAGAGAAACGTTAGAAACTAGCAATTGATTTATGCAGTTACTACACCATGCTTTTTACTCGTCATCATTTTCTGCTATTCCTTTTCCTTTTGCTGCTGCTGCTGCTGATGCTGGTGCTGATACGGCTGCCTCCTCTGCTGAATCATGTTCATCTACTTGGGTTTGGAGATTATCTGGCTCGCCAGCCACGTAATCTAAAATCCCTTCACCGGCTTTTTCAACCGAAGCCTCCGGAGGCGGCGGAGAAATCCGGCCAAACACCACTATGGCCACCAGGAAAAGAGCCGTTGAGACCAAAAGGGGCCAAAAGTACTTGAGAATATCTAGGAAACTGGGTGCGAGATAGACCAGAAAAATAAGTAAAAGGCTTAAAATGGCCCCAATTAAGATATGCACCTTGAACTTCAAAAGCTTTTCTGGGATATCCATAGCCGCTGAGATGGAGGTAGAGATGGGCTTGTGATAGGCTGTTGCGGGTTTCTGTGAGAAAGAGAGAGAAGGAAGAGAGGGAGTGGGGGCCTGAGGTTTTGGAGGCTTTTATCTTTCTTGCAGAGATTCTCTGGCCGGGAAAATTTTTTTGCCCTTTTTCTAAGGCTTTGAACTTCGAAGACTGTAAATATGGTGCAGTCTATTTTCGTGCCTTTATTTTAAAAGATTGAGATTTTGTTCCCATATTACCCATGACGGTTTTTTTTTGGAGGGGGTGGGGGGAGGGGAGAAGGAACCCCTGACAGGCTCCAAAACATGCCAAAATGAAAAGGAAAATAAAGGACCATAAAAATGGTAAAATCCTGTCCATTTTTTCTGACCTTAGCAAGAACAACCATCTATCTATTCACACGATCCTTCCACAACATGTGAAGGCAATTGAAGACTTGACGTACAAGCATTTGTATGGACAGTAGTTAATTTAGATGATTTATTTGAATTAATTAATATAGTATTTTTTGTGATGTGATGTATATGAGATAAAAAATGATTGAAAAAATAAAAAGGTAATTAAAATTTGTGAAATAAATTATTTTTTTTTTCAAATCATCTCAATCCAAACACACTTCGATTAACCTTTTTTTTCGTTCATTCATAAATGGTTGAATTTATGGAAGGATTTTGATTCACTTTTTATATTTGTGGATGCAAGAAGAAAGTGACAAAAGCCTATAAAAATGATTAAATTTTTTTATAAGTATTAAAAATGATTAACTAAAATACATTTTAGCATTAAAAGTTTGGAACTAATTAATACGTTTGAATGCTCTCAATACTTGTCTTAGGTCTGTTTGATAACATAAAAAAGTGCTGAAACTTAACCTTTTCATACATTCAGATGTGTTTGAGTATTTGATAAATGAAAATTTATCTATTGAACTTATTAATCAGTGCTGAACTTGTGTGTATTTTTTTTCAGCACAAGAATCATAACTGAATGCTTAATTTTGATAAGAATCAATAAAATTATTTCAACTATCTTATTTTATCTACCAAATCTACCCTTATTTGTTAATTATATTCAAAATTCTTATCTAATTAAACAATCTGATATTTTCTATCTAACGATTTTCTATTCTCTTTTCTCCCTTTTCAATGACTTTCACTTATTCTACATACTCCTCATATAATATATTTCATTTTTTATATTAATTTGATTTAAAAATAAATATTGTCATTTTCATATCTAACAATTTTAAACTAATTAAATCATAGATTCTATTTCTTTTTTGAATGAAAGGATATAAAGGCAAAATTATCAAATTAAGCTTATTAAGCATTCAGTTATAAATATTTATCAAACAGTATAAATAGATTTAGTATTAAAATTCAGACATTCATATATTTCTTTTAGTGCTTAAAATTTAGTAAATTAATTATTTCAATATTCAGATTTCAGAATTCAGACTTTAAAATTCAGATTCACTATTATCAAACGGAACCTTAGTCAATTAAGTAAGCCACAAAGACCATAACTCCATACCTTTATTGACACCACCGTAGAATTACAAATACAGCTGAGGGTGTAAGAGTCATTTGGGACCGAGAATTCGAGATTTCACGAACCCCCGGCCACATACCGCATGTCCTTTCTCTGGTGTGTCGGCTACTTTTTGATCAGGGCTGTGTCCTTTAGCACTGAACTATGTTTTTTTTTTTTTTTTTGGGGCAAGCCTATTATATGGTGGGTGAGGACTGAGGACAGAGGGGAGGGGGGTTGATTAGATCCAGCAGCTCGGTCCCGTTAGCTAGAGGGAAAGTTATTCCACCATCTCATACTATGCAGGAATAATTCTATTCCCAGATCTTTTTGGTTTGGGCTGGGTGGGTGGGTGGGTGGCTGGTGTGTCCCTGCGGGAGCCAGGTCACAAATTGTACTTGATAAATTCTTGAAGTTCCGTAAACAAAAGTAGACAATTCTTTTTTCAATTGTTTATTGACTAAGTTATTACTATATATTATTCTTCAATCACAACATTTTAATTGACTTGGATGGTATAGATTCCACCTGCATTACTGAGTTTTGACAGAACCTTTACTTACGTGGAATTTAGATTCACCAAAATTGGTCTGAAGCCTATGTAAGAAATCCTCGAGAATAGGCTGCACTGCCGGAATTTGCCAATCGGGCGAATGTAACTGTGTATGTGATTTTCTGGTTCAACCCCGAGAAGTTGAATGTGCTTGGTTCGACGGCCACATACATCTCTACACCCGGCCCCGGGGGGGGGGGGGGAGGCTCTGGACTGGGTAAGATGAATGAGCCTCGCCAACATTGGTTACTGTCCCTGTATACCTCACCAAACTTGATCCCAGAATGATGGAAAAAGAAGAACACTAGCTTTCTAAGGGCTTCCGATGGCTCTGTAGCTATTTGAGCATCAGGTGCCTCACACATGAACAATATACGTTTCTAAGCTGCACTTTGGAGGCAAATCATTGCTGAAAAAATGAAAGCTGAGCATCCAAATGAGAATTAACTGTATGTAATCTGTCTGAGCCCCTAAATGGAGCAAAGAACTGTGCAGCTTGGCTTTGTATTTCAGCTACTGCAGAAAGCTAAAGATACGCTAAAAGTGGAGTTGCAACTGCTACTGAATTTTCATATTGAGTGAGTAGGACTTTTTTATAAAAAAAAAAAGTGAAAATATATAGAAGGGTTCGAACCTGATATATCTTACTTGGATAATTACCTAGCCGCTCCTGGAAAAACAGGTCATTAATCGCTCCCTGAGTGAAGTAGTTGATTTGATTGCCAAAGTTATAAAACTTTTTTAAGGGGCATGCTTGCTAGTTGCTATATCCCTTTGGGCCATCGTCAATAATCAGGGGCAGTACGTAGTCACGGAAGACTAAGAAATAGAAGTCGCTATTTGTGGTTTAGGAGAAAGGAAGACCAAGGGAACAGAAGTCATTTTGTTCTTGACTTGACGAATTGTTTGGGTTTCTCAGTATTGTGCTAAAAAGAAAGCGATTGCAGACGCCCTTTTGCCTTTTGAGCTCGGAGGCTTCTGTTCCTTCATTTCCTGAGCTTATTCAATCCCCTCAAGTCAGTCTAACCTACCGCTGGTTGACTGCTCGACCGCCGTCTAACTTCAAAGACGTTTATTTGCACTTGACCCCGTCAACTACGCAAAGGATTCTATGAAATTGGCTTTGTGTCCTTGGAATAATTGACTCATGATGGAAATATGCACTCCAGGACAAAAAAAAAATTTGTAATTGTACGCTGCACCATATATACTGATAACAAATACAGATACTAGTATAATGACAATGGCACCTTCGACCAAGTTTCCAGCAGCTGTGCTTGCTCTATGGGTACCGTGGCCATATTCATCAGCTAATGTACCATTTTGATCATCTTGGACCAAGTGTTGTGCTCCAATGATTTTGTTGTTACACAAGGATGCAGGTTTGAGTTCACACTTCCGCTTCCACTTGGCAGGTGGAGGAGCGATTCCTTCATCACCTAAGGAAGGGTGTCCAAGATGCCAATGATCACTCACTCGCACCGTTACCATAATTTGAGTCTTTCCAGAATCCCAAATTTTGTTGTAACCCCATAGAACTAGGAGGATGAGTCGTGTGTAGCTAGGGATAGTTTTCTCGTGGGCGCGCAGAAGTAAAACCCATCTTTTTTCTCCATTTCTTTCACTCCTTCAGGAGATAATCTCGCGGCAAATCCCTTCATTACATTGCGATAGGAATAAACCAAGCGAGACTTAAAATTTGAGTTTTCAGTTGTTGTTGGCAAAAATGAACGGTACCAGCTTTCCAAGTCTTCGGACTCGGAAAAAAGCTGACCAACCGGGGCCTCAACGTGAACGATGTAAGTTTCTAAGTTGCTTTTTTCAGGAACTTCCCCCGCAACAATAGCCAAAACACAGAAAACGAGAGAGGAAATGACCATTAGTGCCATTTCCAAAGCTTTTGAAGTCTTGAAATTCTTCGTTAACAAGCTAGAGATTATGTGCTTGAGCGGCTGAACAAGGCAAGCATGTGTATAGAGAAAAGTGGAGAGGGCTAATTTCCTTTCTTTTCGAGCAGTGGTATTTAATTTATTGCCATCTTGCGATTGATTATGCATACTTTCCCACGGGGTAAAGTCATTTGGAAGAATTATTTAGGGGTGGAATGGCTACTTTTACAATGAATAGTCTACCTGTCTACCAGCCAATGGGGCATCGCTCTCCCCATTGCAATCAGTTGATGTTAGTGTTGGCCTTGGAGACTAAGAAAAACATGTCCGAGGACTTGGGAGTCTTTCGCAAGTATGGACTAATTAGCTCACTACTACATTTCCAATTGCTGTCTTCTAAGCTCGTAAAATGTGGGATAAGGGAACTCTTTACCTTGGAGACTAAGAAAAACATGTCCACGGACTTGGAGTAAAGAGAGGATTCTTTGTCAAAATTTATTTGCTTACATCATCATTACAATTTCCAACACGCCTTTTTTTCTTCTCAATTACCCTTTTATCTTACATACACCACATCACAAAAAGTGCTACAGTAAAAATATCTCAAATAATTTACAATCCAAACTGAGCCAAACTCGTTCTTGGGTCCAACATAAGAATTGACTTCTTTTAGGAAAAAACGAAAACACAAATTGGAGTATATTGAATTGGACTAATTAGTTCTTGGACGTATGATTGCATACGTTAATGTGCCAAAAGACTCTGCGCAATGTAAGAGTTTGAATGCCTCGTTTGCTTCAAAACTGCCAAAGTTACAGTGATGTTCTTGTATTTTTTTGTTCAAATGTCCTAACCTATCGATTTGCCCATGAAATTTCGAAAAAAAAAAAAAAAAAAAAACCATCCTTCATCTTTCCCACATCAGACGTAAAATTGCAAGCCATCCTCGAATAACAATGTGATTAGTTAGCATTCATGCGATATTTCATTTATTGTCGCCATTTGCAGCCATTCTTGAACAGCTTGCCATCTGCTGTTGACGGTTTGATCAATAGAACCTGTAAGTGGCAAATCAATGTCTAGAAAGTTTGCATACTAGTATTAGATGAAAAAAATTTTGTACCTTACTCGCAGTCCTCACTCCTCAGACCTTATCCGTGTTTCTGCAAAGCACTACAAATTAGCACGTGTAAAAATGTCCACCCTATCTACTTCAGAACTGGAAAAAGAGCACCAGCTTCAAAAGGCAGCAAAGACAAAGTCTTCAAACAAGATACCAGCAAAATTTGGGCAAGAAAGTTTCAATTGGAAATCTAGTGTCAAGACAGGTAAATCCTGATATACAATGATAAAGTCACTAATGCTACTGAGAAATTTTGAAAAATTATTCGCCCAAATATGATCATTGGGAGGATTATTCTGAAAATACATAAACTCCAATTTTTGCCTCCCCTGGGAGATAGGACAAGGAAGTTGAGAGATTTATTGTAGCACTAAACAGCAAGTATGACCCTCAAGCCAAGAAAAGAAAAGGACACCAAAATGAACGAACAGCTGCAACAGATGCCACTAAACGTATCAAAGGTGTTTCCTCTCAAACTGAGACTCGTGACAATGTGGGTCTAGCCAATCCCTAGAAGAACTCTTTGATGGGTTGACAGGCATTTTCCCACCCACAAGCTCTCTCAAATTGTCCACCTTATCTTCACGACCAGTTCCACCAAATCTCCCATCTGCCTCCTTTAGTTTCTGTTTAAACCTCTGTTTCCGACTAGAAGAATTCTGCTCCTGTTGTCTCGTATGTGATGGCGGAGCACCATGCGGTCCAAGGTATATATAATCGTCCTTTTTGGCCTGCACAAGTGCAATCAGCTTGTGATAATCCTATACTGTCTCGTTATGTGTGTGTGCATGCATGCACGTGCAGCATTTGAAAGATTTGCAGTAGTTAAATAAGAAGGTTCCTGCAAATGCTTGCTTATTCTGATTTGCTTCAGAAATATATTTGCTGCAGCTCACCTTTACCAAGACATTAGGATCTGCTACTCCTGGAGAATCTGATTTCTTTTGGTCGGGATTGCTTATTCCCAAGCTTGGAATCACAAATCCATCAGTGTCTAGTCCAAGAAATAAGAAGTCAGTCTGTATTCTAAGACTTGTAAACAAAAGCTGATAAGCTTTTGAGCCTGAGTGGGTTAATTAGACACCAAATCGGCAACATGCAGCAGATTTCATGACTTGCTGCTCAAAATGCTAAAAATGAGAATGAACTGTAGTACACCAAAAGCGTAGTCAAGCTTTATATTGGTTAGGCAACTTCACATCATTGTTCATGGCCACTCAGATCAGCATTTCACACAGACATCAGCATTCTTCAATCCAGAAAATGTGCAGTCAACAACCGCAAATTTGATATTCTATCTCTGGGTCACGAGATGGATATAACCATAATTGCACAGATAACTATCAAATGGCTTCTTCCTAATCATATCTCCTCCTCCTGTTCTCAAGCTCGGGCTACATTTGTTTCCTGAGCTGGTGAACCAAAGAAAAGGAGCAAAGATCTTTTGATGTGATGCATAATCTATATGCATCCTACATGTACTAGATATGATCCTCAAACAAGAGGATTACACAATAGAAAGATGAGCCCCCTAACTTAATTTTGTTTCAACTCCAAATTTTAACCGAAATACGTACTTCCCTCGTGGATGAATTTCGACTCCAAATTTTAACCGAAATACATACTTCCCTCATAGATGAACTTACCATATCCTAAACGAAGAAAGTATGCAAGGAAAGAAAAATAGTGCAAGAGGAAACACAGACTTAATTAAGGACGCAAATATCACCTTCTCCAACAAGAAATACATGGAATAGTAGATATTGAATAGCATCTGCATTGCAAATTCACATACGAAGAAAATATTATTAACTCAACAAAACTATGAATTCACCATGAACTTTGCTCATTTGATTATGCTAGACAACATCCCACAACCTTGTTCAAAACTAAAAGCTGTTAGGTTTTAAACAAAAAACAAAAAATAAATAAAAAGTTAGTGAATTAACCACCAGCCGGAGAGTAACAGCATTGACCGATAACCACATTATGCTGTAGCTGTCCCATAAATTCCAAACACTTTCTGTGGACGTTCCAACAACAGATTTAACGATACCCTTATAACAACTTCATATCAGAGGTTCAATATAAACATACACTTCCAATAAGCTCAAGCAATAACTTTAGCTAGAAGGTGAAACTTGGACCTCAACTTCACTAACAATAATCAGTTAATCCACAATTTCCCTGACACCAACATCATTCTCCTGTATTCTTGAAATAATATCAATGCGCTAAACTTGCAGCAGCATATCATATGCACTGTTTCTCAGACTCGGACTAGGCAGAAAAACTCATTACTCCAATCATTAAGAAACTACGAGCATCCTATTAGCATAACCAACAACTTCACAGATTAGAAGTCAATTAATCACATAGATTACACAAGAAAATACCAATCACTATCAGTAACGGGAAAAAGGAATAAATTTTATACAAACCATCATCAGTCACTGCAATATTGTACTCATTCCAAAAAAATCTCATTAAAAGAAGAATTAAAAAACTTACCCCACTCATCTTCTTCAGTGGAAGGAGTGGTATGCACTGGAGATGGGTCCATGGAATGCAGATGATCATGGATTTTGAGTTGGTCCAGAGAGAAAAAAACTGGGAGGAATTAAACTGAGGAGTCAATTCGCTAAGAATTGGAATAAAGCTGAAAACTTTATCAGTCGAGTTAAAGAATTTTGACGATTGGAATATACGACACTGGCAACTTTTTTTTATTTCCCTCCCCCTCTCTCTCTCTCTCTCTCTTTAGTATGGGGTCAATGGTTATGGGTAAAGCGAAGTAAATCGATGAAAAATGGGGAAACCCTAGCCCTCCATCAGACCTGTATATCTCCCGACTCCCAATTTCTTTATTGCAGCCTGCCAGCAAAGCTACGTGGCAACTCATTTGCACGTTTAAGTGGAATGCCGAAACTGCCCTTTTATTTACTTTTTTTTTTTATAAGGGCCCTTTTATTTACTTGCCTGAACTACAATTCATCTCTCGATCTAACTAGCTCGTGAGTCGTAACATCCACTGCTTATTGTACCCTTACACAGAAAAAAAAAGAAGAAGAAGAAGAAGAAGAGGAGGAGGAGGAGGAGGAGTAAACTATAATAAATTTTAAAAAATATGTGTTGATGACACGCATACTGTTTGTGCAATCTGGAAATAAGGATTGTTATTTTTTAAGTTTTTATAGAAATAGATACTGTAACAATTTGATGTGTTTAAGGTAAAAAAGAAAATTAAAAATTATGTTTACAAAAAACGTAAAATTTATTTTTTAAAAAATGACAATCCAAACAAGAGCTAAAAATTTTATATCAAATAATGTTTTAGAAACTTTTTACTACTAAACAAAATTATTACAACACTTATGAGTGATTATGTTGATGACATGTGTTTTTAGGTAATTGAGAAAGAAATTAGTTTTTATCCTTTGTTTTGAGGGTAAAACAAAAGTTTAAGAAGTGACGAAAATATCCGCACAAAGAAAATGGAAAATAGTCCAAAACGTCTCTCACATTTTGTAAAATAACTTTTTTCGTCCCTCACTTTTAAAAGTGTAATTTTATATTCCTTACATATTCACATCGGATAAATTTAGTCCCTAACTAGGTTTCCGATCATTTTTTGGCCGGAATCCATCATGTGCAAGGCACGTAATCATTTTTTAAGGGTAAATTTGTCAAATTATATTTTACATAATCTTATCTATAGTCCTCCACATTTTATAAAATAAATTTTTTCGTCCCTCACATTTTATAAAATGATTTTTTTCATCTCTCACATTTCACAAAATGAATTTCTCCATCCCTCGCATTTCAAAAAATGAATTTTTCATTTCTCACTAATTATGTGTGTGAATACATTTTTTTAAAACAAATATATATGTATATTTGATTTTGTTTAATAATAATAGCATAAACACATGTATGTAATTGGCCCCAACTTGTGAGCTATCTTCTGTTTTTGTATGATTATGACTAATATTTACCAATAGAACCTTAATTTGCATATTCTTAGTATATTTTGACCGAAAATAGCTTTATTGGACAACTTGACAATGAATGCAAGATTATTTACTAGCTAATACCAAATGAAATCAAATGATTACGTATAATATATGGTATTCGTATTGTTAAGTGAAATCAAATAGACACATACATATATTTATGCTATTCGTATTATTAAACAAAATCAAATAAACATATACATGTATTTAAACAAAATGTATTCACACACATTTTTTTTAGGGTTTCCCTTATATACATAATTAGTGAGGGATGGAAATATTCATTTTTTGAAATGTGAGGGATGGAGAAATTCATTTTGTGAAATGTGAGGGATGAAAAAATCATTTTATAAAATGTGAGGGGCAAAAAAATTTATTTTATAAAATGTGGAGGACTATAGATCAGATTATGTAAAATATAATTTGACAAATTTATCCTTAAAAAATGATCATATGCCTTGCACGTGATAGATTCCGGCCAAAAATGATCGGAAACCTAGTTGGGGACTAAATTTGACCAATGTGAATATATAAGGGATATAAAATTACACTTTTAAAAGTGAGGGACGAAAAAAGTCATTTTGCAAAATGTGAAGGACGTTTTGAACGATTTTTCCCAAAGAAAAATATGCCTCTTACTTTATAAGATCATACCAAAGTAACTGTTTTGATGGTTTCTTGGCAAGGAAAAGGCATAAGCCATTCTGTAATTTTCCTAAGAAAAAAATATTACGATGGTTTGGGTATAAGAAACCGGAGCACCCCTTTTTTCTTTTATATTTCATTATTGGAACTTTGTTTTGTCGTTTAAAGACAGGCCCAATACTTTGATTGGGCGTTGAAACTGACTCTGGCGTTTAATACAAATAGTGGAAAATTTTGTAAGGTTTGTTCTCTTCTTTAAATTGAAAAAAAAAAGATCTTCAAAATTTATTGAAACACATATTCTCCCTAACAAATAGAGATATTCCAGTCCATTTTCTTAAGAGAAGTGGCGGAACAAACACAAATGATCCCTCTCAATATCCATAAAAGGCAGGACAGGTTCGTTTGGAGGCATAGCAGCAGTGGAGATTACACCACCATGTCAGGATATGCTCAAGCCAAATTAAAAATGAGCAAGAAGGCCAATAAGATGTAACCAAAATGAGGGATCCAGCGCAAGGAAGTATCATCCTACACTATGGCATCAAGTCTAGGATCTAAACATAAAACATAAACTGAAGCACTTCCTATGGAAATGCCTTCATAACATACTACCTACAAATGAAGAAGTGTATAGAAGAACTGGCAAAGGGGACAAGTGGTGCAAATGCTGTGGCGAAAAGGTAGAAAACACCTTTTTTTTCAACTGTAAAGCTATAGAAGAGGCTTGGAAGACATTCCATATCAAATGGGATGGTATTCAAGAAAGCTCGTGGAATTTTTGGAAGTGGTGGGAAGCGTTACAGGGTGCTAGAAACAGAGTTAACGCCATCAGTCACATAAAAGCCACGACAAACTTCTTGTGGCAATTGTGGAAAGCAAGGAATGCCTGGAACTTCAACAAGGAAAGCACAAAAGGTAACCTGATCTCAAATAGAGTTCTAAAAGAATGGATGGAGTACAAATAGATATGGGACTTTGAGAAAATTGAAAGAAAAAATGATGTTCCAGAATAACCAACGATGACCATCACAAAAGAACTTCAAGATCAACATACCACCCTAATGTTCACGGGTGCAGCAATGGACAAAAAGATAAATAGAAGGGGATTGGGCATCGCAACAAAGAACCATAATAGAAAACTTGTCAAAACATGAGCAATCCCTACTGGAATGATGAAGGATGCTGCCATACTAGAAGATGAAGCAATCAGATCAGCCATGCTCAAAGCTCTGGAAGAAGGGTGGACATCTCTACTTATACATTCAGATTGTAAAGGTCTAATGGATAGAATTAATCACATATGTTTTAGGCTATCTTTGTTAGATGTGTCGGTAGAGGATATTATACATCTTAGTCGATCTTTTTGGCGATGTTCCTTCATATTTATTGGAAGGGAATGTAATAGCACTAGTCATGATTTGATAAAATTTACCATCAACCTAATTGATGAAACAAGGTGGGAGCTAGACTTTCCTATGTGGCTTAGGACTGAAGCCTACAAAGATGTCCTGGCCGTGTGTCAGTAGTATGTATATGCTAGGAATATTGTAACCTTTCTGACATATATATTAAATGATGACCTTTTGACAAAAAAAAAATAGAGATATTTCACATGGAAATTTAAACTTTATATGTTTTGGATCAAAATTGCTGTGGCGCGGGGCAAACTGTATGCTACTTTCAACTTGGATTTATTCTACAAATATAATAGCACATTGTGTATTTTGATGAGTTACGGTTTATTAAAGTTGGGATCCCATTTGTAGTTGTAGGATTAAAAAATGAAATAAATTACTCGATACTTGAATCAAGGTCAATTTGATAAGAGTTCATTTGAGTTTGATTCGTAAATTAGTCAAATAAAGTTTGAATAGTATTTTATGCTTAATAAATTTTAAACTCAGCTTGAGTTTTATTTGATTAGTATAAAATTAGATTATATATATAAAAATTTAAAATTACTCGGACTTGACTCAAAATTTTTTTTTGAGTTTGGTTTGGTAAATAAATAAACAAAATCTCAAATTCATTAAAATAATAAAAAAAAAGCTCAAAACAAATATTTTTTTTAAGTATAATGACTTAAATTTGAGACATTTCATTTACACTTTATTTTTTGAACCACCCAATCCATTATTTTTCTAAGTTCGATTAAATTCATTTATACCCCTAGACATCATAAAAAAACTGATGAACATTCTTAATTTTGAAAACTCTGACACATGTCTACAACGTAATATTTAAATTACTAACGCTCTTAAAAACTTACAAGGACAAAAGAATTTATATGCTTAGGGTTTGCTTGTCAGAACAAAAAAGCTCAGGATTAGAACATTAATTCTAGAGATTGTTTGGATAGGAGTTTATTTGATTGATTTATTTGAGATAATTATTATAACAATTTTTGTGATGTAATACACGTGAGATAAAAAAGGTAATTGAGATATGTAAAACTAATTATTTTATTTCAAATCTTCTCAGTCCAAACACACCCCTAGAGTTCGTACATATTTGAAAAAAAATATGTACCTCTAGAGTTTGTACCATTATTTTTTTTTATTATTTGAAAAAATTTATTTCAATTGCATCATAAGCAAGCTTTCCAACAATACTTTTATCTATTTAATTACTATTTTATCTCACATAAATCACATCATAAAAAGTATATAATGTCATTATAAATAGTTTTATGAATAATGGGTATTGAAATACCCTATTTTAGGTTGCCTTTTATTTGGAAATTTGTTTTTAAGTAGTATGTTTTTTCAACTACTGTTTTGCATTCTTTTGTGAAAGTATTGTATAGTTTTTTTTTATAAAAAATAAATTACTTCTGAAAACGCAATTTAAATGGAATCATCAGGTCCGTTCTTATTTGCAAAACAACTAAAAGGCAAGCTAAAATTATTTTCGTTTTATATTATTAGAGGTACTAAAATATCAACCTAATCTTCTAAATTGTAAACCGAATATCCAATCTGGGCCGGTCATTTTCAGGCTCTACTCGTAAATAGATCAATGCCGTCGATTTAGTTCCCGATTTGAAATTCCGCCCAGTGTCACTGACACTCCAGTCCGACATGGCATAAAACCGTATTTTAAATCCGGAATTGAAGTCCGGAGTATAAATTCACAGTCCCGAAAAGGTGCACCCAGCACTAATGCTCGAAGTGTGAAATCGTTGAAAGCAGA